AAAAAAAACTATACAATTAAGATAAATATTAATTTAAAATGAAATAAGCATTCCAAATATACATGAAAATGTAAATAAAATATTTTAAAAACATACATGAAAGTAAAAAAAAAAAAAAAAAAATCAAGGCTTTCAGATTTTGCCTGTAAGTGAAGAAAAGGTCATCTTTGGTAATGCAACACACACACACACAAAAAAGACTTGTAATATCACTTTTACATCTGTAAAAATTGTGACACTGCTGTATGGTTATTTTAAGGTGGGACTTTAGAAATTAGAGTTAGATAATAGCTTAGCTACCATATCTAATTGTTTTTTCTCTAAAGAACATTGGACTTGGGCGCTCGATGCATAAAAAAAAAAAAAAAGAATAATGGGACAATTTTTAACCCTATTCATGGACATTGCCCTTTATAGGATAACAGAGTAGTGTATTCACTCAAAAACTGAGATTCTGTACCTGTGCAATGAGTTGCTTGAACTCTGTAATAGTCTGGTTGAGATAAGCCCTGACACTGACTGGAGCAGCAATAGACTCACTCTTCAGATCCACCACATGGACCTTCACCATCACCTCTGCAATGAACACACAAACATAGTCAGCAGTTTACGGTTAGGCCGTTTTGAAAGGATATTTGGTCAACCATAATGAGAATTGTAGAAATCAAAGGACAGCAAAATTATGTATTTATGTTTTTTTTGGTATCTTGATTGCATATTTTAAGTAAGAGTATATTGCAAACGTTCTGCTCAGTGGATACCTCCAGGTTTGTAGGGCTGGAACACTTGGTCAGGCCTGCGGATCTCCAGGAGCAGGTCAAACATGTATGAAGATTTCACCCCGCCGAGCAGCAGACCCATAGGCATGTCTTCCTCCCCTTCATACGAACGTTCTAGATATTCGTGAAACTCATCATATTTGACCAATCGACAGCAGTCCAGTGGCACCACTCCCTCAAGATCCATCAGCTGATCACCCAGAGGACAATCACACAATGCACCCAGACAAACACAAGGAAACAATCAGTGATAAATTAAGAGACACTCAGGCAATCTGATGCAGAGGTGAAATATAACTTTATTTTGCACTGG